CTCTGATCCAGCAGACTGGGTAGAGGAGGAGAGAGTCCTGGAGCCCTCAGTGGCTTTCCAGGCTTTTATTGGGATTTACCAGGTACACAGCAGGCAGGGGTGCTGGGGGGCCGGGAGGCTGGCAGGCCTCCCAGCCCCCAGCAAGTCTTCACTCTTTTTGGTTTCTCTGGTGATCTCTGGCGTTCTCTCTGCTTCTCTCGTGATTCTTCTCATGGTTTTGCTTCTGCTTCTCTGCTTCTCTTCTACTGGCGTTCCTGTGACGCCGCCCTTAAAAGCCCAGTCTCAGCCCAGGTGAATCCCATCTACCTATGCCCACAGCCTACTCCAGGTGCCGCCATCAGGCATGCATTCGGGACTACAGGTTCCGTCATCTATCCTAATGGCGGGAGGGCACAAAAGCCTGATACTTTCAACCTTACCCTACAGTACTTAAATAAATATAAGTGACTCTGAAAACACACACTGTTATACAATCTGAACAATCGGCCATTGTTCAGATTTAAGACTTTGATTCCACTAACAGTTTAAAATCCTTTTTTCTTTTCTTTTTACTCGAAGATATTTGACTATTGGAAACACCAACCCAGGATGCTCTGGGCAAACCCTCACCTCCCTGCTGCAGGCTAAAACCATCTCCATGCACAGAATCAGAAGTGATGTCACCTTGCACGTGCCCGGTAGCCCCCTGGTGTAATGACGTAACTCAAAACATCAGAGGCAATTAAGAGAGGGATTCTTCATAAGCAATACCAAGTATCTTTTAAAAGTCAACAACAGACAGGTAGAAAATCTTTGCAAATAGCACAAAATACTCATTTGTCCTCCAATCCATTCGGTATGAATTCCTGGGGTTTATGAGACTGAAAAAATCATTTCAGTGTGAGCCATTTGTCTGGTTTTGTGGCAGCTGTAAATTCCGTTGCTCCAGAAACAATCCAATCTTCAACCTCCCCATTATTTTTAATGGTTGAATTAATGTACTAACCACTCGTATTTGAAAATCCATCTTGCTGAATTATCAGGATCATGTACAATGGATAACTAGACAAAGGATTTACCGATTTACAAAACCGTTAGCATCTTTGACATTTATTTGAAAGAAAACAATGCTCTAGTTTATTCACTATTTCAAGGATAACTTATGAGACAGAGAAAGAAAGACACATTTCAAGGGAACAAGTGAGAGGCCTTTCCCCGAGGTCCATGGAAAACAGCACACAAAGCCCTTCACAGCCCCTGGGGCAGCTGCAGGGTGCCAGGAGGAGCAGGAATTCATGTGGAAAGGCCCTCTCTTGTGGCCCAGCGTACCCCAGGTCCCCGCAGTTCATTTGTACTGCTTAAAAATATGTAAACATTGGGCCTCCCTGGTGGCGCAAGGGGTTAACTCTCAGCACTATGAAGCTCTCCGCAGCCACTGCAGCACGAGTTCCACCCCCGGCCAGGGAGCTGACCCACATGGTGCAGCAGACCTCTCCTGTCTCCCCACTGCTCCCCGCAGCAGTGTATTTCAGTAGATCCGCCTGTTCTGTTCCCCACTCTGTCTCTGGTGAATCCTCTCATCCCCCGCTTCTCTGGCCTGTACCCCAGCTCTTGTATGCATAAATAAATAAATCTTTTAAAAAATGTAAACATCAATTTGTCTTTGGCTCAGCTTCAGGGCAGCTGTAAGGCATTCGTCAGAAAATTAGATTAAACAGGTGTTCCCTTTCTCTCTCTCTTACCTGATCAACAACTCGTGTGGGTGGATGGAAGGCAACTCACTTTGGAAATGTTTCTTACCCTGTTGATATGAACCTCTGACACCTTCCAGCTAAGGCAACACCCACAGCCCAGATGGAGAAGTGGGGGGCCATGGGAAAAGAGGATGGTTTGGGGGCTGAGCTCTGGAAGGAGTCAGGCAAGTTCTGGAGAAGCGTCTGCTGGGCTAGGAGCTGGGAGTCTCTGGAATCTCAGGAGGCCCATCAGGCTGTGCCTTTTAGAACCTCTGCCTCATGAGGTGCTGTGTCAGGGTCCCAAACAGCTAGCACCCCCATGTTTCCCTGGACATGTGGTCATGAGCCCCAGTGCCAAGGAGACCTACTGCCAATTTGGGCAAATCCAGTTTTCTTTCTGTTGAATCAGATGAGAAGGCTCAGGCCCAGGGCAAGAGGAGCTGGGGGGCTTTCAAAGCCATAGAAGGAGTCTGATCCAGTAGCTCTCAGTAGGAACATGGCTCTAAATGGGGCTTCTTGTCTGGACCCCGGCAGGGAACCCATAGGTTCCAGGGCACGTGGGGGGTGGAAGGCAGAGCTCTGGAAAGATGTGCTTTGTGCTCTTTGGGAGCAGAACAGGTATGTGGCATTTTTTGGAGGTGCAGGGTAGGGATAAGGCCGCCTTCCCACAGGCTGACGTAATTCCATTTGAAAGCTGGAAGGAATATTTTTTGAGTGGGCACAGCACAAAAGCAGGGCCATGTCTCCCTGGCTCAGAGTGACAGGTCACTGTGTCCTTTCAAAGGCAATCAGCTACCCTGAGGCGCCATCCAACATCCCTCCCAGGAACAAGGGTTTTTGGGCAAAATTCTGCCTGTGGTCTCCGGGGCACTCCTGGGGAATGAAAGCAGATGCATTTTTAAACAACAAAATGTGTGTGTGTGTTTGATTATGGTCCAAGCTTTAATAGCATGGTAAAATATTTATCTTATTTCTTACAGCTAGCATGCAATCGATCTGTGACACTGACAATATTTGGGAAGGTCAAAGTCTACTCAGCACAGTGAGACGGAACCACTCAAGGTATATGCGTATCACTTAGTGGGAAATGCAGACCCATCGCTGGGCAAGCCCCTCTCCTGAGACGCCCCCTCCCACCTGACGGGAAGAGGCACCGTGCTCCCGGGAGTACAGCTGTTCATGCCGCAGATGCTCGATTCTCTTCCAAGCCAGAGTGGAGGCCTGGGGGTGTCTCTCTGGTTTGGGATTTTAAGAAGTGTCTTAGCAAACCTACCCTATCAAGTTAATCTCCTGCTTGGACGCAGGAGGGCTTTGATCTGTTTCAATTCCTGCCCCCTTCTTTGATAACTGATGGGAAGTGGGTACCGGGGGTGGGGTTGAGGGTGTGTGGAGCATGGATTATAAATACTAAGTAAATACGGGGAATGTGAGCACAAACGAATGGTGATGGCGTTTTCTAGAGGAGGTGGGAGGGGCTGGGGAAGAGGATGGGAAATCGGCAACCACTGAATTAGAAAATGTTTGAGTGGAGGGCTCTCCAGACCACACTCTCTGTCATCCAGGGAAAGAAACTGGGGATGGACCCGCTGGTGACACACAGAACCGGCATCTCCTGGGCTCACCAGCGCCGGCTCTCCGGGGGGCTCTGGGGAGCAGGACCGGGAGAGGCCCAAGGTGCACCAAGGGCTGTGTACTCCCGGCAGTGTGTGGGGAGAGGCTCCTCTCCAGATGGCCTGAGTGGGAGCCAGGAGGCATGAAAGGAGGGACTCCGTCCCCTTATTATAAATTCCAAGTGGATACAAATAGTCAGGAGGCCGAGAAAATAAAAAGTAGTTACAGACACTTTACCTTTTCTATGTTCTATTTGTGTACACAGCATGGAAAAGAAAGCTGGCTCAAAGATAGCACAATGCCAGAACTCTGCATTTTTTCCAGCACAAACTATTTCTGACCTACAGAGAACGGGCTCCATTCCACGGAGTCTTGCAACTGGGCCTCTCTCGTCTCCTTTCCTATAAAATGACAACTCGCTCTAAAAAGGCAAGGAACAGCCTTTTCCCAAAAACGCGAGTCCTGTGGGCTTCTTGTCCTTCATCTGTCTGTAAGAGGAGAGCATCACTTTGAACTTGAGTGGACTGGCCTCCAAAAGCCACCTACCCACCAAGCCCAAAGCCAGTTTCCTCCCAGATGATACATGAGCGTGAGGAAGTGGTCATTTTCTTAATTCCACTCTGGCCAGTGCCCGGGGAAGAATGCTGATGAGCCTGGGCTCAGCCCAAACTTCCCCAGTTCTCCTCTCGCCACACGTCTCCCAGACGTTAAGAGGCCCCTCCGAGGCTGGGGTGCATTGACCAGAACAGCGACCTCAGCCGGCCCCCAGCGCCCTCCCTGAGCACCCACACCCCTCTGCCTGCCCTGGATTCACCTTGTGCGGAAGCCATCAAGGGGGAGCAAATTCCATGAAAACCATGTCAAAAAGAGATGAAAACAAAGTAAAAACCAAAAATGGATGGTAAGTCACTCTCTTTGCTAAGAAATCACCCTATCAGTCACCCCACAATGCAGAGATCTGATCTGTGGCTCTTTGGGGGCCGTTCCTCACGGGGATGCTCCAGTGGAACAGTGTCGCAGGCCACAGGGGTCTGGCTGTCCTGAGAGCTGCGAAGGGAAACCGTAGGCAGGTCCAGATCACGGAGGACCTCATTTTATTGTTGATCCATGGGGAGTTTGGGCACACAGGACGTGAAGGCAAATAGAGCGTGATGCTCAGCCCACGCGGGGGTCCCCTACTCGGGCGGGACCCCACCCCCAGCCTCCTTGCCGGCACCATCAGCTGTGGACAAGGGAGCTGAGCAAGTTGGTGCAGGGTGGAGCTTTCCCTCCACCTCCCTTTGCTGCGCCGTCTTCCCATAAAACAGCACTTGAAAATTCACAAAATCAAAAAAAAAAAAAAAAAAAAAAAAAAAAGAATGAAAAAGGAAAAAGAAAAAAAGCAGCACTTCTTTCTGAATACCAACGCCCGGGCGGAGCGGAGCGTGGCAGGCAAACCCGTCTCATTCTCTTTAGATGTTCGCGTGTGTGTGTTTTTTATTTTTTAAATTAACAAATGGAATGGCAGGTCTATTTCAAACATTAGTAGCATAACACTTAAGTGCAACTTCAGTCTCGCCCCAGGCGTTCCACACCTTCGCGTGTCTGTCTCCACCGCAGCGAGCCACCCGGGCGGGACCTCCAGCCCACGTCCCTTCCTCCCGCCTCCACCCCCCCTTCCTCCCCAGGCCCCCCTTTCTCATCCCCAGCACCGGAACATGGCCCCTCTCTCTGCCTGTCATCTAAGCAGCCGGGTGGGGAAGAGAATCCAAATAAAACCCAGCTGGGAGCAGCTGCGTCCGGCTGGGCCCAGCCATCAGAGGGTCCCGTCTTCATCCGTGGCCTGTGCGCACCAGGACCCGGAGTCGTCCTTGCCACCATGGCCTTGGGTCATGGGAAAGCGTTCCCTGGGACCAGCCCCAGCCTCCTGTCCCTGGCCGGGACACGTGGTCACACGGAGCTGAGTTTCACCAGGCCTCGCACCGAGTCCTCGTGCAGGGAGTCCTGGCTGGCCAGGCCCAGCAGGTGCACGGTGTGGCTGTGGGCCAGAGGGCTGCCCCCCAGCATCCTGGGCGGTGAGGGCGCCTCCTCTGGGGTCAGGAACTGGTGGCCCATGGGCTCCTCTTTCAGGGGCAGTATGTCTGTGAGCGTGGCCTCGGTGGCAAGGTTGGGCATGGAGGAGGGCGGCGTGGGCTGTCCAAGCGTCAGGCTGGTGCAGGGAGTGCCCAGGCCCGACTTCCCCGGCAGGTGCAGCTCATCACTGGTGAGGCTGGGCTCGCTCTGCAGCAGGGGGGTGGCCGCTGCCTGCAAAACGAATTTGGTGCTCTGAATGCACTGGTCTTGGTCGCACTGGAGAGCAGGAGGGAGCCAGCAAAGTGAAGGCCAGAGGAGATGGCAGGAGTCGGAGGAGCACAGCAGGGAGGGAGGGGTGTGAGAGAGAGAGAGAGAGAGAGAGAGAGAGAGAGAGAGAGACCATTAGTGACACCTCAGTTAGACAGGGTGGTGAGTGTCTACAGGAACCAGCTCCTTGGGGACACCAGCATGTGGCAAATACCCAAATAAGCTGCTCACTCATAGTCACCATGGGTGGCCAGTGCCCCCAACCCTGCCCCCAGGAATAATGTGAGGACGATGCTTCTGCCTTTTGCTCTTGGGCAGGACCTTATTTAAGATCCACCCCGTGGTCTTTCTGCAGTGCAAGGCAGTAGTCTCGTTTGCTGGACTCTTAGCACATTGTTCTGAACCACAGGGGCCTGGACCCTGCAGGCAGCGGGGTTATTCACAGCAACAAAGGGTGGAGTGGAAGTGTCCACTGACAGGTGAATGGATAAACAGGGTACAGGTTCTCCTGCAATATGAAAATAGAGTGTTCTTATTTCATATGATTTGGAGGTTATTTCTGGGCCTGGGGATACTATTGCTATTAATTTATTTAGAAAAATGTTGAGCATTTCCAGACTGAAAAATCGCCCTACAAATCATACCAGGTAGGAATGTTCTACTTTTGGATAGTGGGGGAAATTTGTATATACAGACAGTGGAATATTACTAAGCCCTGAAAAGGAAGGATGTTGTGACAAGATGACAACATGGATGAAGCTTGAGGACATCATGCTAAGTGAAATAAGCCCGGCATGAAAGGACAAATGCTCATGGGTTCTACTTCCTGAGGTCCCTGGAGCTGTCACATGCCTAGAGATAGAAAGTAGAGGGGGGTTGCCGGGTGGGTGCAGTTTCAGTCTTGCAAGATAAAAACAGTTCTGCAGACAGATGGTGGTGACAGCTGCACAACAGTGTGGATGAACCTAAAGCCACGTGTATACTTAAAAGTGGCCAGGATGGCAAATTTTATGCTCTGTTAATTTTACTACGAGAGACAGAGAGAGAGAGAGAGAGAGAGAGAGAGAGAGAGATACAGGAATAACAGAAGCTCCCAAGGATCTGCTCGGGGTTCACAGGCCCTCGCATTCCCACTGCTAATTTTTCATCAACTTCAAGCATCATTAATTTGTGCTTTAGTGATTTTTTAATCTTGTGAAGAGAAAGCCAACATTTCACAAGACATTTCCTTTCCTTCTAAGCATTCTTAAATCACAATACACATGTGATATTTAAATTAAATTATTTTACTCACTGGATAAAGGAAACAGGGGTAAAGCCCTTTTGAGGCAGTGCTGAGGGGGGGGGGTCTTTGCAAACCCTTCCCCTGAATTTCCAACAAGTTTCAGAAAAGCCCTTTCTAAGGGAAGGAGACGAATGGGTTACGGGACAGCTCAAAGTCCAGTCCTTTCCTGGATGACAGAATATTCTGTCAGCGCATCAGGACCTGATGTCCAAGCAAGAAACTCTAGGCCCTGCTTTGTCTCTCTAGTTCTTAGAACAAACGTTTCCCCTCCTTCCAAATGAAGCTGCTGTGGCTCAGGTGGTTGGTGGACTGGAGACCTTCAGATAGAGTGAGGGATCTAGGGTTGGAGGTGGGGACTGGCTGGTAGCAAACCTCTTCCCACTAACGCTCATTTGACACACAGTAGGTGCCAAGACCTGGTCCTATCATCTCCTCCGTTCTTTTTGGAACTCTGAGTTACTGAGGAACCAGAACCTTGTACTATTAGCTTTGCAACTGGGGAGCTTCACCCTCTTACTGCCAGGGTAGCCCTGGAGGGACCCTCACCCCCCTCCAGGCACAGAAACAACAGAGGCCTGCAAACCGCAGCCTTGGGGACAGAGAAGTGGCCCCCGAACACAGTTCCTCAGGCTTTTATCTCATCTGCCCAGAGTGTGTGTGTCCTTTCTGGCCAAGTGGGTTTCTTTCTAAAATCACAGGCTAAGCCTCCCCCCGCCCAGCCCCCTGTCGGGATGAGAAGGTGGAAGAGCCGCTGTCTACAGAATGCAGAGGTTTTAGAAGCTCAAAGACCTTGGTTCCAGGCTTTATTTTCATAAAGCTTTAAAATCTCAGGGAAGATCCTGGCTTTTCTGTCAGAGTTTCATCCCAGCCCCGGGAGCTTCCCCACACTGTGAAGGGGCAGGTGGGGGAAGGGGCTGAGGGCTGAGCGTTACCCAGCTCTGCAGGTCGTCATCTCCCCTGTGACCCAGATCACTCTGTCTCAGTGGCACTTTGCCAATGGGTGACTGGGCAGTTTGGGGGAAGGGATCCTTCCTGCTGGCGAGGCTGAACGGCCGGAGGGTGGCCGACAGCCTGGCCTGTGGGGTCCCTCGGATCCCCAGCGCTGTCAGCTCTGTTCAGCTCTCGTCTCCTTCGTGACTGGGCAGAGGCAGAGAAGAACAGTTCTCCTGATTAAACATTCATCTTCTGGAAATGATCCCAGGGCCTTGGGCAAATTGTGCTTTGCAGAGAGATTTTTATGGAAATTACCAGTTAGTCTCACGGACAGGGCTGGGAAGCTCAGGCCTTGGGGCCTCCGGTTCAGCTCTGATTCCAGCAACACCCGAAAATGGGTCAGGACCGAGATGCCGCCAGAGAGCTCTGGCTTTCACTCCCTTTCCTGGATGACCGGGTCTTGTTCTCAGCCTTCCCACCTGGAGCCCTCGATCATCCTAAAACCTTCTGTCCACGCAGCACCCCACCCCCAGGTGAGAGAAGCTACAAATTAGATTTGTGACCTGAGGAAAGGCTGTTTTGTTGCAAACTAATTGGCAGATTCTATTTTAGGGATCAGCCCAGGTACTTCTGATGGCTCCTAGAGACTCACAGGGGAATTAATTAGGGGTCAGACTGGAGGAGACTTTCAAGGTCAGGTGGCTCAAGTGTGAGGGGGAGGTGGCCTCCCACCCATCCCCCACTTCCTCCCTCTCTCCCTCTCCAGCTTGTCCAGTGTGTTGTTAGTGTGCTGTGTGTGTGGTGTTCTGTGTGTGTATGTGTGGTGTAGTGTGTGGTATATGCGGTATGCGTGTGGTGTATGTGGTGTGTGTGTGCTGTGTGTGTGTGCTGTGGTATGTGGTGTATGTGTGGTTTATGTGGTGTGTGCTGTGCTGTGTGTGTGCGCTGTGGTATGTGATGTATGTGCTGTGTGTGGTATATATGGCGTGTGTGTGGTGTGATGTATGGTGTATGTAGTGTGTGCTCTGTGTGTGTGTGTGTGGTGTGATGCTGCTATCAGTGAACACAATTGCAGAGTCCATGAACCTTGGTGTCTACATCTTGTTTGTATCCATAACTTTGACCATAGTTTCTCACATTTAACCGAATTCCCCTGAAAGGCCAACCCCATGAGGGGTACCCAGGAACCAGGCTTTATTCCATAGGCTACTGACCACATGAATTCCTATCGACTTTTATGGGGACCCTGGAATGGGAGACTACATTTTTTATTGCTTCCCTATGATTTAATTATTCCAATCATGGACCCATGTTGAATGAGTTGAATTTTAAACTCTCTGACTAGCAACTGTCTTAGAAGAAACTCATTAATTAGGGATATCTGGTTTTCACCTTCATTTTGCACCTGCCAAGAGCCCTTCCTGGTTGCATTTCCCACTGGAGAACTTCAAGAGAAATGGCTGACGTTTTCGGGGTTACTATGGAGATGGTGCATGACAAAACGTTCTCACAGCTCTTCCTTCTCCCTTTGCTTCTAATTCCTATCTGGCCATCCCTTGTTCAATTTTCTGCTAGATTTTCTTCCTGTATGGACTCACCAATTCTCCTCTTCCCTTCCCTCTTCTCCTTTCAAACGTTTTCTCTCCCATTTCTTCCCTTTCTTCTTCCCCTCCCCACTCTCTGCCTTTACCTGGAATCTTTTTATGCTCCTGCCCCACGTCCTGGTTTTTCATTCGCGCACTCCCACCTTCGCCCGGTAGAGGGCGTCATCACCGCTCACTTTCCCTCTCACAATGGGAGCTGGGCTGCAGGCACTAAGCCCAGGAAGCCGCCAGAACATCTGAATTCATCTAAGCTGTTATATAATCTCAAGGAAAAACAACCAAGCACCAGGATATTGGACAGTGACAAGTCATCTACTGTGGACCGGAAATTGAGAAACTCATGTTTTCATTCCAAAACAACCCTTTAAAGGTCCATGTTTATCAAATATTAGGTTGAACCGCATGAAGTTGCCACGTTGAAGGTAAAAAATCATCCACAAGCTGAATACTAATAGAATAAAGACCTGATCGCTGGTAAGAGCAGCTATGAAAAGACCCTTCTGTTAGCAGCACAGAACTGACACTTTCTGGAGTGCTGAGCATTTGCTGTAGCAGCACTAAGTCACCGTGACGTTGGCTGATTTATTGCCCAAATGAAGCGCTGGCATTTAACTTGCAAAGAAGTTTATGGCTTCCTATGTTCAGATGTCACACACATTATCACTTAATGCTGCAATTTAAAAACACCATGGAGATAATTCACTTTTGTTTTTGCAGATTTTCAATAAAACCACTCATGTTGGAATACATTTTATTTTATTCTCTCTTCTTGCCTGAAATAAACCAAATGTACAGATTAAATGCTGCTAAAAGCAAAGCTAGGCATTTTCTGTAGGGTCTATGGACAAATTAAGGATGAATGAAATCATTTATTTCTTTTGCTCCAATTCTGTCAAGAGTGTTATCGTTGGGCATTGTTTATTTCTGTTTGGCTGTGAAGCCGCGTTATGGGGCCTCAGGAATGTTCCTTTATAGTGGTAAAAACATTACAAATGTTTGAAGTCCACCTAAATTGTAGGTGAGGAGGAGAGGGCCTTTTAATTTTTTTACTTAACATTATCATTTAAGTTTGTCTAAGTCATTTTATTCTACTACATTTGATGTTTCAGGGTATGCAAAGAGAATTCTTCTAAATACGAGTTCAATAAATCATGCAACTGCTAGGTTTAGTCTTGTTTTCATTTTGA